GTCGAAACAAGAATCAAAGCTACTCGCTATTCAACCTGGCCAACGACCCCGGCGAAGAAAAAGATGTCTCAAAGCAAAACGCTGACAAGTTCGCCGAAATGAAAAAGCTGCTCGCCCAAATCGAAGCAGGCAAGTAAGCTTCCACTGCGTCATTTCAAACCTAAAGCCAGGGGCCATTCGCTCCTGGCTTTTTTCTTTGGGAAACAGCAATGCTTGATCGGTAAGCTCAACCAAACTGCAGAAAGACATCGAGCGGACCGCAGAACTCTTCCAGTCTCCGCTTTATCTCTTGAAAGCGATTGCTGCTGAGAAGAAGCCTCTCGAACTCAAAACAATCTGGCGGAGTAGAATAGGTCCAGAATTGAAAACCAATTTCATACTGCAGAAATACCTCCTCGTCGTCCACCTCGACAGCGGCATAGTCCTTGCCGATGGTAACGATCAATCGATCCAAGATGACACCACCATGGATCTCCGGCGGAATCTCTTCTCGTTGAAGGGTCTCCAGTTCGTCGCCAAGCTCTGAAAAATCGATGTGCAGAGCCAACGTCGTGTTCGGTTCATAGAACGCGACAAGACAGCTCGGAGAAACGGTAAGCTGCTCCCCCATGCAGTCTGAGTCAACTTCATCGAGAGGTCCCGCCTGGGGAGCACGAAACACGTAGTCAATCGTTTTCACACCCAAACACTGTGGCAATCGTTCTAAGATGCTGCGGAGCTCAATACCATCGGCCGCCCCCACTATCCAACCGTTGCTAGTCACCGACATCGTTCGTCTCGCTTAATCCCTTGAGCCAGTTGTCGGCGTTATCTCCCAACAACCGGCTCGCCCTTTGCTATCGCTTACCGTTTCCGGTTCGGTTGTGGGCCGCCTTTGGGGAGGGGGCCAGCCATCGGAGGCGTTTCGAAGAACTTGCCTCCTTCGACCACGCGAGGATCACCGCTCGTTTTTAGTTCTTCCATCAGACGCTCGGTCAGTTCTGCTTTGACTTTCGCGTACTTCGGATCGTCGGCGACGTTGGTCATCTGATCCGGATCAGCCTTCAAATCGTACAGTTCCACTTCGGGACGTTTGCCGAAACAACGTTCGAAAACAGGCTTCACCTCAGGGTCGTTTCGGTGCAGCACCATGAACGCTTTCGTCGGTCCGGCGTCGTCGTCTGGGAACGTCACAAACGTTTTGTTGGTCAGTTCGTCCTTCGTGGGCGGGTTATCACTATCCAAATGATAAGGAGCCCCC